TGATTTTGAATATCTGATTGATCATGCAAACAAAATGTATTTTATTGAAAGATTTTGATCATATGAAGCCATTTATTATCACATAGTTGTTTGACTGCTTTTAACATAAATCACCCACATGGCCCTGATCAAAAGTTTACATATCCTTGAATGTTTGGGCTTGATACAGGCACACAAGGTGACACACACAGGTTAAAATTGCAATTAAAGGTTAATTTCCTACACATGTGGCTTTTTAAATTGTAATTTTAAAAAGCCACATGTGTAGGAAATTAACCTTTAATTTTTAAATTGTAATTAGTGTTTGTGTATACATAGTTAGTAAGTTTGTTAGCTCTCACGTGGATGCACTGAGCAGGCTAGGGGAGCAGAAAAGAACTGTCAAAAGACCTGCTTAACAAGGTAATAGACCTTTATAAAGATGGAAAAGGATATTAAAAAATATCCAAAGCCTTGTAAATGCCAGTCAGTGCTGTTCAATCACTTAATAAAAAGTCGAAAATATGGGAATCTCAGGTATACCAAGAAAGATTTCCACCACAACTGCCAGAAGAATTGTTCATGATACAAAGAAAAACCCACAGGATACAGGCTACTCTTGAAAAACACGATGTGGTTGTTTTAAGGAGCACAATACAATGATACTTGAACAAAAATGAGCTGCATGGTCGAGTTGCCAGAAAGCAGCTTTTACTGTGCCAATGCCACAAAAAGCCTGGTTACAATATGCCCGACAACACCTTGACATGCCTCACAGCTAATAGCACACTGTAATTTGGAGTGACGAGACCAAAATAGAGCTTTATGTGCCAATGGAGAAATTTGCCTCCTTGTTAGAACGAAAAATCAGTTGTGGACACATTCCCATGGACACCAGAACGGGTTCCCATGCCGCTGATGCTGGTAAGGCTTACCCCTGCTAATCCAAGCTGTGCATACAAGCATAAAGCGTCTTGGTTGCTATAGCAACACTACGCAAGTGAGATTAAAGACACAGCACTTTCTTTAAATAATGTAAACTAAATGCTTAAAAGTGATTCAGTGCAAACAAGACTTAATAAGAATGCTAGTCTGATCTACTAACCTGTGAAATGGAAATCATAGAGACTTAAGTGTTTTTATCAACCAGACTAAAGTAAACGAGAGCCAATAGTGTAAAACTGTGATGTAACATAGCAATATATCATGTAAGTGACGTACAGTATAGTAACTATGTTTAACAGTGTAATTTACAAGTACTGAATGTATACAGTATCAGACAGTCTTGGTAATAAACCTTGTATCCAAGAAACAATGTAGCAGATTCTAAACTTATCAAAGACTATTTACAGATAAATTGCATAGAGTTCTAATTCTTATTACTCTTTCTAGTACAGTCTTTTTACAAACCGTTTTTTATTACTACAGGTGTATTGTATCAAGCAACTAACCATATAGCCACAAAGCTGAAGACCAGGTAAAGTCACAGAGAGGTGTCCCAGAGTGCTGAGCGGTGTCACCAAGCTCGTTCTTCCAGTAACCATTCAGATCAGAACAGTCCATTTAGGTTCCTGACATTGATGCTCTGTCTTTTTCCAGGATTCATATTGGTTCTTACAGAGACACTCTAAGCACCAAAACCACTATATCTTGGCAAAAAATAAAAATAATCTAGTAAAACAAGAATAAAACTATATATATATATATATATATATATATATATATATATAGTAACTATGTAACTATATACATGCCTATCCCAAAATGTTTTCCTTAGTAAACTTGCCTTGGGCTTGTCCTACCAAAAACTGTAGCTCTGAATCTGTTTTGGGAAATTGCTAATTACTGCTTTGGACTGAATAGAAGTAAAGCATAATCATCAGGACCAGATTTAGTCATTGCATAATAATCCTTCCTATTCTAGCTGTACACAAAGATCTCCCACCCAATGAGGCCTGCTCCTTTGTGTTTTGGCACCATTGAATGTTTAGAGAGCTAGGTAAATGCCCTATATAAAGACAAATACCATTTCTAGACTTGTCACTGGAACCCTCTAAACCAGTGGTTCCCAACCTTTTTTCACTTGAGTACCCCTTGGCAGTCCATTTCTATAAATTGTACCCCTCCCATTAGCAAAATGTTTGTAATTAATATAGTTGCATTTATTTCAAATGGAATTGTTTTTATCTGTCCAATATCCCCCTTTCTCTGCCCTAGGCTCTCCATGCTTCTCCTCTGCCCCAGGCTCTCCCTGCTTCTCCTCTGACCCAAGCTCTCCCTATTTCTCCTATGCCCTAGGCTCCCCCTGCTACTCCTCTGCCCCAGACACACAAACTGTTACACATGCAGACACACATAAACAAACACTGACACACATATAGATAAAGATACACACACACACCTGCAGATACACAGATGCAAAGACTGACACACATGCAGATACACACACCGACATACATATAGATAATGAGGTACAGACACAATGATGCACGCACATACAGATAAAAACACTGACATACATACACAGACACACAAAAACATACATATAGAAACACAGATACAAACACTGACACACATACAGATACAGACAGAATAAAACACTGACACAAATGCAGATACACAGATACACAGATACACAAACTGACACACATATAAGTACACAGATACACACAATGACACAAAGATACATACACTGAAACATATGCAGATACAGTGAAACACAGATGCATTCACTGACACACATGCAAATACACAGAGACACAGACACACAGATACAGACACTGACACACACAGATACATACTCTCACATACATACAGACAGAGATACCCACACTGACACACAGACATACAGATACTGACACATGTATACATTGACACACATGCAGATACAGACATACAGATACAGGCATTGTATGTGTGTCAGGGTATGTGTCTATGTGTCAGTGTCTGTATCTGTATCTGCATGTGTGTCAGTGTCTGTGTGTCGGGATGGGTATCTGTGTCTGTATGTGTGTCAGGGTATGTATACGTGTGTCATTATGTGTATCTATGTGTGTCAGTGTATGTATCTATGTGTCTGTGTATCTGCATGTGTGTCAATGTGTGTATCTGTGTGTCAGTGTCTGCATCTTTAAGGGTGTCAGTGTATGTATCTATGTGTCTGTGTATCTGCATGTGTGTCAGGGTATGTATCTGTGTTTCAGGGTGTGTATCTGTATGTGTGTCAGAGTGTGTCTGTATGTGTGTCAGGGTATGCAGCTCTGTGTCAGTGTATGTATCTGTGTGTCAGACACACAGATACATACCCATACACACATACAGATACACACCATGACACACATACAGATACATACCCTGAAACACAGACACACTGACACAGATACATACCTTGACACACATGCATATACACAGACACATATATAAATACACTGACACACATACAGACACATGCCCTGACACACAGACACACTGACAAACAGATACACACTCTGACACCCATGCAGATATGCAGACAAACATGCAGATGCACAGAGATACATACAGATACATACCCTGACACACTTACAGATACACACCCTGACACGCAGATACACACCTTGACACACATGCAGATAACGCCTTGACACACATGTATCTCTGTGCATCTGCATGTTTGTTTGTGTATCTGCATGGGGGTCAGAGTGTGTATCTGTTTGTCAGTGTGTCTGTGTGTCAGGGTGTGTATCTGTATGTGTGTCAGAGTATTAACCATTAAGTGTGTCAGTGTATGTATATATGTGTCTGTGTATCTGCATGTTTGTCAGTATATGTATCTGTGTGTTAATGTGTGTGTCTCTTTGTATATGCATGTTTGTCTGTGTATCTGTATGTGTGCCAGGATGTTCATCTGTGTGTGATACAGACACTGTTACATCCTCACACACAGATGCTTATCCTGACACACAGATACACATGCAGATACTCAGAGCTACACACCCTGACACACAGATACAAAGTGACACACATGCACATACACAGACACATAGATAAATAGGATACACACCTGACATACAGATTAACACATTAGCACACTAACACACACATGCAGATCCACAGACATACACACACTGGCACGGACACTGTGCTGTCTGTGAGGGGTGCTGTGTTTGTGAGGGGTACTCTGTGTGTGGGGTATTGTATTTGTGAGGGGTGCTGTATGTGTGAGAGGTGCTGTGTTTGTGTGTGAGGGGTGAGGTGTGCTGTGTCTGTGTGTGTGAGGGGACCTCTGTGTGTGGGGTGTTGTATTTGTGAGGGGTGCTGTATGTCTGAAGGGTGCTGTGTTTGTGTGTCAGGGGTGAGGTGTGCTTTGTCTGTGTGTGTCAGGAGTGTTCTCTGTGTGTGTGTGTTTGTTTGTGTGTGTATGTGTGTGTGTGAGGAGTGCTCTGAGTGTGTGTGAGAGGTGCTGAGTGTATGAGGGGTGCTACGTGTGTGTGAGGGATGCTGTGTGTGTGAGGGGTGCAGTGTGTGTGTGAGGGGTGATCTGTGTGTTTGAGGTGTGCTCTGTGTGTTTCAGGGGTGATGTGTGTGTGTCTGTGAGGGGTTCTGTATGTGTGTGAGGGGTGCTGTGTGTGTGTAATGGGTGCAGTGTGTGTTTGACGGGTGCTGTGTATGTGTGTGAGGGGTAAAGTGTGTGAGAGGTGCTGTGTGTGAGGGGTGCTGTATGTGTGTGTGTGGTGCTGTGTGTGGGTGAGAGATGGGTGCTGTGTGTGTAAGGGGTGCTGTGTGTGTGAGAGAGAGGTGAGGGGTGCTGTGTGTGAGAGGGGTGCTGTGTGTGTGTGTGTGAGAGGGGTGCTGTGTGTGTGTGAGGGGTGCTGTGTGTGTGTAATGGGTGCAGTGTGTGTTTGACAGGTGCTGTGTGTGTGAGAGGTGATGTGTGTGAGGGGTGCTGTGTGTGAGATGGGTGCTGTGTGTGTGTGTCAGAAAGAGAGGGGTGCAGTGTGTGTGTGACAGGGGTGCTGTGTGAGTGTGTGAGGGATGCTGTATGTGTGTGAGGGGTGCTGTGTGTGAGGGGTGCTGAGTGTGTGAGGGGTGTGAGTGTGGGAGGGGTTCTCACACACCTCTCTCTCTCTCACACACACACACACACACACACACACACACACACACACACACAGCACACACACACACATACAGCATCCCACACACACACACACACACACACACACACACACACACACACACACACACACACACACACACACAGCACCCCTGACACAGAACCCCTGTGTTTGTGTGTGTGTGAGGGGTGATGTGTGTGTGAGAGGTGCTGTGTGTGAGGGGTGCTGTATGTGTGTGAGGGGTGCTGTGTGTGTGAGAGAGAGGTGCTGTGTGTGAGAGAGAGGTGAGGGGTGCTGTGTGTGAGAGAGGTGCTGTGTGTGTGAGAGAGAGGTGAGGGGTGCTGTGTGTGTGACAGGGGTGCTGTGTGGGGGTTGCTATGTGTGTGTGTAAGGGATGCTGTGTGTGTGTGAGGGTTGCTGTGTGTGTGTGAGGGGTGCTGAGTTTGTATCAGGTGTTCTCTGTGTGTTTCAGGGGTGCTGTGTGTGTGTGAGGGTTGCTGTGTGTGTGTGAGGCGTGCTGAGTGTGTATCAGGTGTTCTCTGTGTGTTTCAGGGGTGCTGTGTGTGTGTGTCTGTGAGGGGTGCTGTGTGTGAGTAATGGGTGCTGTGTGTGTGACAGGGGTGCTGTGTGGGGGTTGCTATGTGTGTGTGTAAGGGATGCTGTGTGTGTGTGAGGGTTGCTGTGTGTGTGTGAGGGGTGCTGAGTTTGTATCAGGTGTTCTCTGTGTGTTTCAGGGGTGCTGTGTGTGTGTGAGGGTTGCTGTGTGTGTGTGAGGCGTGCTGAGTGTGTATCAGGTGTTCTCTGTGTGTTTCAGGGGTGCTGTGTGTGTGTGTCTGTGAGGGGTGCTGTGTGTGAGTAATGGGTGCAGTGTGTGTTTGACAGGTGCTGTGTGTGTGAGGGGTGATGTGTGTGTGAGAGGTGCTGTGTATGAGGGGTGCTGTATGTGTGTGAAGGGTGCTGTGTGTGTGAGAGAGAGAGGGGTGCTGTGTGTGTGTGTGTGTGAGGGGTGGTGTGTGTGAGGGGTGCTGAGTGTGAGGGGTGCTGAGTGTGGGAGGGGTTCTGAGTGTGTGTGTGAGAGGGGTGCTGGGTTTGTGTGTGTGAGGGGTGCTGAGTGTGTGAAGGGTGCTAAATGTGTGTGTGTGAGAGGGGTTCTGTGTTTGTTTGTGAGAGGGGTGCTGTGTTTGTGTGTGTGAGGGGTGCCGTGTGTGAGGGGTGCTCTGTGTGTGTGTGAGGGGTGCTCTGTGTGTGTGTGGGTGGGGTGCTCTTTGTGTGTGTGTGTGTGTTAGGGGTGCTCTGTATATGTGTGTGTATGTGTGAGTGCGGCCCTGTAAGAGTATGTGAGGGGTGCTCTTTGTGTGTGTGTGTAAGGGGTGCTCTGTGTGTTTGTGATAGGTGCAGTGTGTGGGTGATGGTATTGTGTGTGGGGGGGTACTTATACATCGGGGGATAAGAGTAATTAAAATATTTTTTTTATCACTATTAAAAAAATAATAATAATAAAAATGTATAAATTCACTGTGTGTATGTGAGGGGTGCTGTGTGTGTGTAATGGGTGCAGTGTGTGTTTGACAGGTGCTGTGTGTGTGTGAGGGGTGATGTGTGTGAGAGGTGCTGTGTATGAGGGGTGCTGTATGTGTCTGAAGGGTGCTGTGTGTGTGAGAGAGAGAGGGGTGCTGTGTGTGAGGGGTGATGTGTGTGTGTGTGAGAGAGAGGGGTGCTGTGTGTGTGTGAGGGATGCTGTATGTGTGTGTAAGGGGTGCTGTGTGTGAGGGGTGCTGAGTGTGGGAGGGGTTCTGAGTGTGTGTGAGAGGGGTGCTGGGTTTGTGTGTGTGAGGGGTGCTGAGTGTGTGTGAGGGGTGCTAAGTGTGTGAAGGGTGCTGAATGTGTGTGTGAGAGGGGTTCTGTGTTTGTGTGTGTGAGGGGTGCCGTGTGTGAGGGGTGCTCTGTGTGTGTGTGTGAGGGGTGCTCTGTGTGTGTGTGGGTGGGGTGCTCTTTGTGTGTGTGTGTTAGGGGTGCTCTGTGTATGTGTGTGTGTATGTGTGAGGGCGGCCCTGTAAGAGTATGTGAGGGGTGCTCTGTGTGTGTGTGTGTGTGTGTGTGTAAGGGGTGCTCTGTGTGTTTGTGATAGGTGCAGTGTGTGGGTGATGGGTATTGTGTGTGGGGGGGTACTTATACATCAGGGGGGTAGGAGTAATTAAAATATTTTTTTATTACTATTAAAAAAATAATAATAATAAAAATGTATAAATTCACTGTGTGTCCCCTCTCCTTACATTTTCCTTGGGGAGGGCAGATATTGCCCTGGTGGTCCGGAGATGAGCAGCACTACTCTACCTGCAGGCAAAGTTCAGTCCTCCCGCGAGATCCTCAGTTTGTTGCAGTGGTAACCCGCAGCAATGCTCAGAATTGTCGAACTCGCCGGAGAACCTTTCCACCTCCACGCTCCTCCTTCCTTCCCTGCCTCTCCTGCAGGCTGCCTGTCAGTGTCTGTGGGCCGGTGAGGGAGATCTTTGATCTCCCCACTGGCCCAAGAAGGCACACAGCAGGCTCGACACTAGGATAGCGCTGGCTCTGACAGACCGGCAGGGGAGATCCTGTGATCTCCCCTGTCAGCCCATGGCCATCGCAGCTCAACGGCTTTCCAACCCCTGCAGCCACCATTACCTAAATAATTTTGCGTACCCCATGGGGACTGAATTGTACCCCTGGGGGTACGCGTACCATGGGTTGGGAACCCCCTGCTCTAAATTGATGTCTCCATCTGTTATTGCACTTTCAAAAAATGGTACGTCTGAATAATTAAACATAGGAAGTGTAATTATTCACAAAGAAATTCTGCTTTCCTCTTGTTTTTAAGAAAGATGAAAACTGCCTCTCGCTCCATATGTAAACCCCATAAGGATTCATCACATTTAACACATTAACCCCTTAAGGACTGGACTGTTTTTGCGATGTACATTTGCGACCAGGCATATTTTTACACTTTTGTGGTGTTTGTGTTTAGCTGTAATTTTCCACTCTCTCATTTACTGTTCCCATACAAATTATATATTGGTTTTTTTCAGGACAAAAGGGGCTTCCTTTACATACCATTATTTATATAATCTCATGTATTTTAATTTCAAAAAAAAAAAATAAATATGATGAAAAATTGAAAAAAATAAAAAATTTTTACTTTTACTTGAAAAATCTTTTACTCATCTACAAAAGCGAATTAAAAAAACTGCTAAATAGATTCAAAATTTTGTCCTGAGTTTAAAAATACCCAGTGTTTATGAGCTTTTTTGCTTTTTTTTGCAAGTTATAGGGCTATAGGTACAAGTAGGATATTGCGGTTTCAAAACATACATTTTTAAAACGTATCAATAGTGACATTGTAAGACTATTATCTGTCATAAATCTCTGAAAAACACTCCACATTTACATATTTTTTTTAAAGTAGACAGCCCAGGGTATTCAATATGGGGTATGTCCAGCCTTTTTTAGTAGCCACTTAGTCGAAAACACTGGCCAAAGTTAGCATTCATATTTGTGTGTGAAAAAAGTAAAAAACGAAATTGAACGCTAATTTTGGCCAGTGTTTGTGACTAAGTGGTTACTAGAAAAGACTGGACATGCCCCATTTGCAATACCTTGGGTTGTCTTCTTTTGCAAATGGTATGCCATCATGGGGGTAATTCTCATTCTTGGGCTACCATACGTTCTCAAAGGCAACGTTACCAACCTGGCCATTTTCAATGTAAAAATATTTGACCCATATATTTGACCCTGTTACTTTCAAAAATGCTATAATACCTGTACATGGGGGGTACTGTTTTACTCGGGAGACATCGCTGAACACAAATATTAGTGTTTAAAAACTGTAAAATGTATCACAACAATTATATCATCAGTAAAAGTGCTGTTTGAGTGTGAAAAATGCGAAAAAACTTCACTTTCACTGACAATATTATTGCTGTGATATGTTTAACTGTTTTGAATCATATTTGTGTTCAGTGAAGTCTCCCAAGTAAAACAGTACCCCCCATGTACAGGTTTTAGGGTGTCGTAGACCATTACAGTGCTAGCAAATTAAATTCTCTGGACTTTCGGCCTGGGTTGGCAGACAGGTCCCTCAAATTGCAATCAATAAAATTACTTAATTACGTAAAAATATTACATAAATACGCACGTAGAATTTAAATATATATATTTATATATTTGAAGTCTACGTGTATATTTATATAATTATTTATGTAATTTTGTATATGGACATATGTATATTTCATACTATTTTTATTTATATATACATATATATATATATACAAATTCATTCTAAGTGTATTTTAATATAAATATATATATATTAATTTTAAAATACAGTTAGAATAAAATTTCATATAGATATATAATTTTTTAAATTTTTTTTATTATTATTTAAAAACATTTTTATTTAATTTAAATTACTTATTATTTATATTTTATAATAATATATATATATACAATATATATAGTTATTATATATATTATATATATATGTGTGTAATTTAATTATAAGTGTATTTTTATATTAATATAAGTACATATTAATATAAAAATACACTTAGTATGGCATTATATATATGATATATAGACATATATTATATACATATAATATATGTCTATATATCATATATACACATATATAATTTTTTATTTATTTTTTATTAACACTAACTTTATTTTTTTTATTGATTTTACACTAGCAGGGAGACTGCCTGTCAGCACAGACAGTCCCCCTGCAGGCAGACAAATGGACACCTATTGTGACCATGTGATCGCTGTGTTAAGCAATCACATGGCCACAGGGGTCCTAATTCAGTGTGGGGAGACTGTCTGGGCTGCAGGCAGTCTCCCCACAATGGGAGCACCGCTGATTGCCGCCGGGGGAACGACGGCGATCAGGTAAGTAACTAGGACCGTTAGGACGGTCCTGAACCGTCCGCGGTCCTTAAGGGGTTAATATAGTGTTAGGTTTATTTACTGAAGTGAGAATACAAAGTGAATATCAAATTTAAGTCAAACAAGCTGGACTGGAAAAAATTCTCTAGATCAGCTATGCTTTCAGTTTGGCGACTCTGGCCTTAAAATAACACTACAGCAT